AAAAAAGGGAAAAATGGGAGGAAATGGGGGAAATTTGGGGGAAAATTGGGGGGAAAAAGGAAAAATTTGGGGAAAATTGGGGAAACTCAGGGGGGAAAAGGGAAAAATTTAGGGAAAATTGGGGGGAAAAGGGAAAATTTGGGGAAAATTGAGGAAAAAGGGAAAATTTGGGGGGAAAAAAGGGAAAATTTGTGAGGAAAAGGAAGGAAAAAATTGGGGTGAAAAATGGGGAATTTAGGAGGGAAAAAGGGAGGAAATTTGGGAAAAATGGGGAAATTTGGGGGTAAGGAGGGGGAAATTGGGAGAAATTTGGGATATTTTGGGGGAAAAGGGGGAAAATTTTGAGGAAAAATGAGGAAATTTGGGTAAAAATGGGGGAATTTGGGGGAAAAAACGGGGGAATTTTGGAAAAATGGGGAATTTTGGGGGGAAAATGGGAAAATTTTGGGGGAAAGGGGGGAAATTTGGGGTAAAAAGGGGAAAATTTGGGAAAAATGAGGAAATTTTTTTGGAATTTGGGGAAATTTTGGGGAAAATTTGTGAAGAATTGGGAAAAAATTGGGAAATTTGGGGGGAAGGGTTAAAAATGGTGAAATTTGGGAAAATTGGGGAAATTTGGGGATTTGGGTGGAAAATTTGGGGAATTTAGGAGGTAAAAAGGGGGGAAATTTGAGGAAAATTGGGAATTTGAGGGGGAAAATTGGGGATTTTTGGGAAAAATATGGGAATTTTGGGGTTTGAGCAAAAATTGGGATTTGGGGGAGACAATTTGGGGAAAATTGGGGGTTTGGGGAGAAAAAGAGGGGAAATTTTGGGGAAAAATAGGGATTTTGGGGGGTGAAAAGAGAGGAATTTGAGAAAATTAGAGAAATTTAAAAAATTGGGATTTGGGGGAGACAATTTGGGGAAAATTGGGGGTTTGGGGAGAAAAAGAGGGGAAATTTAGGGGAGAATTAGGGGAAAATTAGGGATTTTGGGGGTGAAAAGAGAGGAATTTGAGGAAATTAGAGAAATTTAAGGGAAAATGGGAAAGGAATTTAGGGAAATTGGGGATTTGGGTGGAGAAAAAGAGAGATAAATTTCACGATATGACAGAAAAATTGGGGTGGAAAGATCTCAGTTTAACCCCAGTGCTCCCAGTTTGATCCCAGTGCTTTATTTCTCTCCCTGAGGGAATTTTCCACCATTTTCCTTCCCCTCCTTCCCTCACCCCCCTCACGCCGCCGCCGCCATCTTGCCCCGTGACGTCACCGCGACCCCTCCCCAATAATTCCCTCCCGTCCCCGCCACTCCCGCGACCCCTCCGGGCCTCACTCACCGAGCCCCGGCCTTCCCCCAGCGCCTCCGAGGGGCTCCGGAGCGGCGGGGCCGAGCCCGAGCCCTCACTCAGCTCCCCGCCGCCATCTTGGCCGCGCTCCCGCCATTTTTTTTATTCGCGCCCTTCCTTCCCCCAACTCACACCACGGCGCATGCGCAACCGCAAAGAACTACACCTCCCATCAAAATTAGAGAAATTTAAGGGAAAATGGGAAAGGAATTTAGGGAAATTGGGGATTTGGGTGGAGAAAAAGAGAGATAAATTTCACGATATGACAGAAAAATTGGGGTGGAAAGATCTCAGTTTAACCCCAGTGCTCCCAGTTTGATCCCAGTGCTTTATTTCTCTCCCTGAGGGAATTTTCCACCATTTTCCTTCCCCTCCTTCCCTCACCCCCCTCACGCCGCCGCCGCCATCTTGCCCCGTGACGTCACCGCGACCCCTCCCCAATAATTCCCTCCAGTCCCCGCCACTCCCCGACCCCTCCGGGCCTCACTCACCGAGCCCCGGCCTTCCCCCAGCGCCTCCGAGGGGCTCCGGAGCGGCGGGGCCGAGCCCGAGCCCTCACTCAGCTCCCCGCCGCCATCTTGGCCGCGCTCCCGCCATTTTTTTTATTCGCGCCCTTCCTTCCCCCAACTCACACCACGGCGCATGCGCAACCGCAAAGAACTACACCTCCCATGAACCACCGCGTCCAAACCGGAAATAAGGCAGACCTTATCGCTGTTGGCCAATCAGCGGAGAGGGGAGGTGGGAGAGGCAGCGGCGCCGCCCAATGGGGGTTGAACGATGGCGGCGGCGCTGCGGGCGGCGCTGTGCGTGGCGGGCGCGGCGCTGTCGGTGTACGCGCTGCATGTGGAACACCAAGCGGCGAGGGACCCGTCGTACCGAGCCGCCTGCGACCTGGGGCCCTCCGTGTCCTGCACTCGGGTGTTCTCCTCCCGGTAAAAGCACCGGGAGTAACGGGAGGAGGAGGGCGGGAACGGGAGTGGGCGGGGCTTGCGTGAGGCGGCGGCCAATGGGCGTGAGGGGAAGGGCAGGCCGCTAGGGGGCGCTGTGGGCGGAGAACGCAAGTGGGCGGGGCTTGCATGAGGTGATGGCCAATGGGAATGAGGGGAAGGGCGCGCCGCTAGGGGGCGCTGTGGGCAGGGAGTCGTGAGGGGAAAGGGGCGGGGCTTAAAATGGCGGGAGTGGGTCTGAGGGGCGTGGCTTGGGTTAGGGGTGGGGTTATGCTAATTAGAGCAATCTATGGCATGACAGTGGGTGCCGTATGTCCATATATGGGTCTGAGGGTGTGGCTTGTGCCCATATATGGTCACAGGGGAGTGGCTTGCATGTTGTGTCCTTATATGGAGGTGAAGGCGTGGCTTTGGGTTGCGCCATATATGGTCAAGAGGGCGTGGTTGTGTCACACCCATGTATCGCTGTGAAGGCGTGGCTTAAACTTGCATTCATGAAGGGGGAGTGGCTTGTATCTCTTATGCCCATATATGGGCATAAAGGTGATGCTTGTGTCCATATAAGGTCATAAGGGTGTGGCTGTGTTATTTCCATATATGGGCATGAAGGCGTGGCTTCTGCTTGTTGCCATATGGGGGTGTGGCCATGCTATGCCCATATATGGGCATGGAGGTGTGGCTTAACCTAGTTCTGACCATATACGGACATGAACATGGGGAAATGGGTGTGGCTTATCTCAGGAGGCGTGGCTTAAAGCAGCAAAGCACCAAGTCAATCTGGGGGCGTGGCTTAAGACAATAAGGGGTGTGGCTTATCCACCTGTGCACACCATATATGGGCATGGGGGTGTGTCTACCCGGCTTGTGGGTGTGTCTCAGTGTTGCCACGCCCCTTTTCCAGGTGGGGGCGTGGCCTGGGGCTGGTGGAGCCGGTGCTGGGCGGGGACAGCGCCCTGAACGTCCCCAACGGCGCCATCGGGCTGCTCTTCTACCTGCTGCAGGGGCTGCTGGGTAATCGCGGGGACTGGGCGGGGCTAAAGGGGGACTGGGCGGGGCTAAAGGGG